TCACCCTCAAGTCTTGTGTTTATCCCTTGGGGTAGATACAGGATTTGAGGTTCGATGCTTTTTCATTTAAACTATGGAAAATATGAGGTCAGTTTGATTTCATATTTTTCTAAAATTATATATATATACGTAAATTAAAAAGTCCTTCCGAAGCGGGTGACGGGATTTCGATTCCGGCGACCGACAGCTTCTTACGGGCGACCCCCAAACATTTAAAAACTCTCTTTTCCCCCTTTTAAGCGCCGACAATGGTGTGCCAGAATTTATTGTATCAGACAGGAACAATGTGCTACTCAACCACTTATGAAAGGAATTGTTCAAGTTACAAGAGACAGTTCTAAAGAGGAGCATAACATATCATCCCCATGGCTATCAAAAAAACTCGTTGTTCGCGAACAGTTTGTGTTCGACTCGCCAGAGAGATCGTGATCGATTCGTAAAATAAACCCTATTTAATTATTTGTATTAAATAGGGGAACTTGTCGGCAAATAAAATGGTTTCGCAGACCCAAACGGACGTCATATCTTTCTTAGTTTATTTGATCGAGCTTCATCCTCAGGTCTTGTGTTTATTCTTCGGGGTAGATACAGGATTTGAGGTAGAGCGCTCTTTCATTTAAACTGTGAAAAATATGAGGTCAGTTTGATTTCGTATTTTTCTAAAATTATATATATATACGTAAATTAAAAAGTCCTTCCGAAGCGGGTGACGGGATTTCGATTCCGGCGACCGACAGCTTCTTACGGGCGACCCCCAAACATTTAAAAACTCTCTTTTCCCCCTTTTAAGCGCCGACAGATTCTGGCGACTCCGCTGGGGACTATATTATTGTATAAAATAATATTTCATTTGTAACTTGTTTTTAATAATTTGTAATAATATAGTTGAAGAAATATCTGTTTTTTAATAGAGGTATGTTAGCTATTTTTTTGGTATTTTGAGAATTAATAATTAAATTTATTATCATTCTAAGAATTTACTCAATTCAAACAACACAAAAAAATTTGAAAGATTTCGAACAATTCGAACATTTCAAACATTTCAAAAATTTTAAATTAATTTCAAGCAAGTCGAACTGAGCAAGAACAGTAACTTCACGAAAAATTTCAAACACGAGCTTATTTTAAACGCACTTAATTTCAAACGAACCGACATGACACGAGCTTTGTTCGTTCGTGTTCGGTTCATTTACAGCTCTAATCATCCCCAGACAGATGATCAAACAGAGTGGTCAACAGGAGTGTGGCGACATATTTGTGCTGTTTTGTATCGGATACGCCTAAACTTTGGACCAAGTCGATTTCTTGGGTTTAGTATTGGTATAAAATTTTTCAACCATACTGCGACACAAACCACCCTATTTAGGATTCTGTATAGGCGGGATCCACCTCAATTGATACACTATCAGTATAGTGCTACACCAATATTCAATGTGAACTAGTACTTGGAGGAGAAAGACATTATTAATAGAGCTCAATGGACATTTATTGAGGGCCCAACAAATCATGAAAATGAAGGCAAATAGACATAGGAGGGAGGTACAATTGGAGCCTGGGGCATGTTTTATTTGTAGCTGAGACCTTATCGACAGAAGAAATTGGCTAGGAGGAGCGATAAACTTTCTCCGTGATATTTTGGACCTTATGAGGTTATGATACAAATTGGGCTAGTGGCTTACTATTTGAGGTTACAACCATCATCATCATTGCATCTAGTCTTTTATGTATCATAGCTGATGTGTGTTATCGAAGATCATACACCATCGTCTTCACCACTCCCAATGCTGACAAAGGATCAGTAGGTGATTCCGGAACTTTTCGAGGTTGAAGGAGTGCACTGAGGAGCGGCTAGAGCAAAGGAGGTACTTGTGGGCTTCGAAAATTAACTACTACTCTCCGAGAACTCTTTGCATTTATTTTATTATTTTGTTTGTTGAGAGAGCTTTGGAGGGTCGAATTTTCAGAAGGCAAATTGGATTGTAGATAAGACACTACTCTAGAGATTTCACCCTCATTTAGTGAGGACTTTTTGATCTGGGATTCTAGGTTTCCCATAGGCGCAAGCCACTATAATTAATTACCCCTCCTGATAACAAGAGAGTACTTTCGATTAAGGCTAGTCATTAAAAATTGAAAATTGAACATACAATAACAAGATATTTAGGATTTAAATTTTTGAATTCATCACTTGAAGCTTAAAGCGTATGGTGGGGAATGAAGATGAAACCTAATCAAGATCCAATGGTTTCGTCATCTCGGGCCATCATGATCCTTGATCCACTTAGTCAGAGAGTATCGTGAACCAAACCTGTAGATGAATTCTTGTTAGCAGTCATGAGTTGCATCGTCCAATAGATTGTTGTAGATTTGGGATAAATGTTTGCCTAAGAGGACAAATTTAAATAGACTTTAGCTAATAGAAGACTTTGTGTCAATCAATTGTACCCTTATGATTCATAATTCAAATGGGAGAAAGCCATCAAAGAACATACGGGCTGCGACCATGGTCGTAATATAATGGTACCATTTGGCGGCAACCACCTGGTTATAGGGCTCTGATTGTAACCGCTACTTGTGGACCTTTTGGGCCAAGCCACTCGGATAGAGGACTCGGGCCACATCCTTATTGACATGCAATTACTTTGATTGTGAATCTATTGATACATTTAATATGACATTCGTTTTTTGTGAGTTGAAGTCAATCAGAATTTTGTCACTCTCGATAAATTGTAGTGGAAGGTGGATGAAATTTGCTTTTAACTTTTAGTGATTTGTTTTAGCTTTACATATTAGTTGATTATTTTGAAAAACTTGATTTAAACGATTGACCTTTCCAGTTGAAATCTTCGATCAACATGATCATCATCATTGTATTGAAGAGGGCATTTATTTTTGTTAAATTAAACTTTTAGAGTATGAGTTCTTTTGACTCCTATCCTTATAAGGAGGAGGATGGAACTAGGTGATTCAAACTTATAAATTTTTTATTTTAAGATTTTGGCATTTATTTCAAAATTATTAGACTCGTCAACTCCAATCATTGCGAGCAGAATGATCAGACTAGTTGGGTGAGACTTATGATCCTATCTTATAGACAAGGCGATCCGATTAGCTCGCGCAACATTCTCAAACTTAGCATTTGAGTATTCAATACATTGGCTAGAGCACATGCGACATTTAATTTCATATGTTTGAGTCATTTTAGCTTGAGTGCTTGGTATCTTAAGACAATTTATATGATTTAAAACGTGGATTGAATTAAAGATTGTTTTAAATAACATCTTCAAGACTTAAAATGACATAAATTTGTCTCAGCTGAATATATATACATTAGTACATATATATTAACTTTGATCTTTTAAAAACCGTCTCTGGTCGTTGGCAAACATGTTGCGAATCCGGTGGCGAGATTGCATATTAGATTTTTTTATCATTTAAAAATAACATTTAAGTCTTAAGTCTAACCCCCAGTTATGATATTTAGCCTTTAGGTTAAGCTCGACCCCTAAATTTTGATGTTTTATATTTAAATTAAGTTTAACCTCTCAATTTATGATATTTCATATTCAATTTAAGCTTAATCCTCAATTTGTAAAATTTGATACTCAAGTTTAGTCTCCCAATTTATGACATTTAAGTCACTTAAAGCATTCAAACTCTTAAAATCATTTGCAAACCATGATAATCCAATTTAAATATTTATTTTATTTAATTTTTTGTGAAATAAAATAAATGTGTGAGGAATTCTTCGGGCCTATTGTGTGATAGAAAAGTACCACTTGAACTGAAAGGAAAATTTTATAAGATGGTGGTGAGACCTGCAATGCTCTATGACGTTGAATGTTGGTATTTAAAAGAGAAGCATAAAACTAAGTTAAGTGTTGCCGAGATGAGAATACATTGGTGGATGAGCGACTTTACACTTAGATACAATGCGAAATGAATATATCCATGAGAGGGTTGGTGTAGCTATAGTGGCAGATAAAATTAGAGGAGTCATCTTAGGTGGGTTGGTCACATTACACGTTGACCATCTGATGATTCGATTAGGAGAGTAGATGTTTTAGATTCGACATATGTTAAGAAAGGCAGCTGTGGTCTTAGAAAGATTTCAGCATATTGTATAAAAGTGATCTTAATTTATTAGAATTAAATGAAAATATGACAATAGGACACAATGGAGAAAAACGATTCATGTCGCCGACCCCACTCTCTCAGAGTTCTCTCTATATCCTCCCCCCTCCCCTCAAAAGCTTCGAATTATTCTGTTTAATCAGAGAATATATAACTGGAGCGGTTATTTAGTGAACTGAGCGCTAATGGATAAAATTTTAATTTTATTTTTTATTCTTTTCTTTTTTTTTTAGGGGTCAAGAGTACTGATTAAGTGGAAATATGTGCCAAAGTATGAAGCAACATGAGAGCCTTACGAAGTGATTCAAAAATAGTTTCTATCATTTCACATTGAGGACATGGTACTTATTTGGGAGGAGGGTGTTGATACGCTTGCTCTTGTAGATGGGCCGATCTAGGGAAGACTCGTCAGGACCGGCCAGACCCAAGCCAGTCGGCCCAGCCTAGAAGGCCATAAGCATTAGGAATTGCTGAGGACGATTCTAGCTTATGTGTTGGGCCCATGCAGTCGTTAATCACGTACTGGGGGAAGGGAATTAAGGAGGGTTTTTGGGGAAAGTTTGAATGAATCTTTGGGAGTATTTTTCAATGCTAATTAGCTAGGTTTTTTTTTTATGTTTGAATTTATTGCATATTTTTCTCTGTCTTTGTGTTCCTAGCAGCGTTTAGGGTTTGTGGAGAGATGATCTATCTCTTGAATTGTAGATCATCCCTTATATCTTGTTTGTTTGCTTTGTATTAATCAAATTAGCCCTATCTTGGATATTCCCACATTTATTACAAGTTGCTCGCTGATTTTGACTCTAGATCGAATCAAAACCATTCCCTTAAATGAAATTGTGAAGTTTGTTTATCTTGCAGAGAGATGAAACTGGAATTGGTGGCTCATGGAGTGACTTTGTTCATTATCTTTTAGCATCTTTGTCCGTTGGGGATGTAAAGATCATCCTTGATCGTCCGGAAAATTTACAAACCGATTGTAGTAAGTATATTCTTTGCATTTTCTATTTGTCTGCCTATTTTAGATATTATATTATCTTTTCTTAGGTGGAAATGTTATAGTGAACCTTTACATTTTGAGCATTGGGTTTAGGATGTATTGAATATTTTTTTTTAAATTTAGTATTTGTTCCATAAATTAAAGATTTTTTTGAATTACAACTCTTATTGAGACTGATATATATAACTAGTTCCGATTAATTATGTTTTAATTTGCTGCGTCAAATTACCTAACCAAAACAACAACATAAATATGGCCGTATAATGCTTTTTTGTAATTTTAACAAAAGTTTTTTCCGGGTTTCTACATCTTAACATTCATGGCGCCTTGTACATGTCTAGTAGCCATGCACTTCATCTAAAATTGTTGTTCAATGTGCGTTTCAGTTGTGGAGTTTAGTGTGGTCTGACATTTGCTTGATCTCCAATATTAAATGGAAGCTATGCACTGAACTACAAGGCAAAATTGAAGCAGTATGTTGAGTCTGGGAATAGTTGTACATTTATTTCCACAGATCTCAAATCTTTGGTTATGAAGAAGGCTTAAGGTAGATAGTCATTGTTAGAGGAAGGTTCATTTGTTATGTGCTATGTTATGGAGAACCCCTGAGAACCTCTCTATTTTAGGAGCAAGAGAAATATTCTAAGGAACACTCAAATAAACTTCGACCATCCTCTGACAGTGGGAACTTTTTTATTTTGATTTTTTCCTGTGCTAATACTCCCGTTAAGTTTAAGTGTATGTATCAATGAACTCCCAATTGTTATAGAATTGAACGAAATGTAGAGTTAGAATTTTGTTAAAAGAACTACTAAAAATGCAATATTTTATTTTAAAAAAAATGCAGGTTGTACCTTTTAATTGGAATATAACATGATTATTCAAAATAGTTTGTCTTAATAATGTGTGTTCGATGAGAAATATATTTTAAATTGTCATTCTTGTAATATCATTTTTCTATGATCTTAAATTTAAAAATAATTAATTACAATGTAGGATTACCTGTTCTTGAATGAGTCTCTTAAAAATAAAAGTAAACAATTTCAAAAATTCAAACAGTAAATAAGCATCTTTTATTTTAAATTCCAAATATACCTAAATATTAATATTTTGTATATTTGCTATTCACTAATTTAGCATTTTCTTAAGCTTTAAATATCTTTTACATAGAGAATTTTAAAAGTTAGAATTGTTGTTAAGAAAAGCGGCAAGTTAGAACAGCCTAAACATTAGAAGCTATGTTTATAGAAGCTTTTGTCGACTTTACAGACTAAATACTTGATGATCCCTATATTTTTATATGTTTGATAAAAGGAAAATTATTATAAAAATTGATGAAGCGTAAATTTTAATATTTAAGTATCTTGATATATACATATATGCATACCTACGTACATGAATGATTTAGACATTTTTTACATTTTGTTGCTTTTAATTTGATGTCTGTTTGAACATTTTAAACACGTTGCAATTTTTGGGGACCCACACGACTAATATATATGTGTGTGTGTGTGCACGCGCGCGCTCGTACCGTGACCTGTTGGTAGAACAACATCTCTGAAGGTCGTAAGTCCTCTCAGGTCACGGGTTCGAATCCTCTCATGTGTAGGGTGTTGTACTCGAATATTTACCACACCTAGGGATGGTCAGGGCTCGTTTAATAGCCTCCGACCATTCCTTTTTTTAAATATATAGTCGTCAACTTCAGTCGAGGCTCTGCTAGGGTTTCGCCTCACGGTGAACCCTAGCCTCTTCTACTGTAATTCCACGCTCGTAGAAGAAGGGGTGTATGCTCCTCTGTTCTGTCATCTACTTCTTCAAGCTGCGCCTGTGCTCGCTGCTCGCTGTAGGGCCGTTCGCGCTCTGCGACTCTTTCGCAGTTTCGATCCGATTGTGGCTCGCGTTTTGCTGTTTCGACCAGTTCGCGACTGTTTCGTCTTCTGCAGTTACCTCTTTTGTCCTGCTCCTGTTTCCGCGGGTTCGACTTCTGCTGCTTCGACCTGACGTGCGTTCATTCTCATCTGGTCGCGCTCCATCGGATGGTCTGGTTTTTTTCGCTTTTGCTTTTGCGGGCTGAAGGGTCATCGTCATGTCGCTTCCATCTTCGGTTGATCATGACAAAGCTTCTTTCGCCTGCGTGATGGGTAATCATCTTGCGAAATCTACTATTGTCTTCTGCTCAAGCTATAAGGACTGTCGTGATGGTACGAGTGACTGCTTTTTTTTTAAGAAGATAAGCAGGAAGAGTGAGAAAACAACACTATTTTTCTCTGATTCAGAAATTTCAATCCTAACTGAGAAATTCAAGTTCGCTCTTATTGGGAAAGTTAGTGGGGGCATCCACCTATGGAAGTTATCATAAAGAGTGTTGACGATCTTAAACTTGTAGGCAAGTGGAAAGTGAGATTTTTGGATGAGAGACATATGTTGATTCAGTTAACCCTAGCTGAAGACTATGCTCGGATTTTCTCTAAAAAATATCTCAACATTGCAGACAAGTCAATGAAGTTACTCAAATAGTCTCCTGCTTTTGACCCAAATCATGAGTCTCCTACTGTTCCGGTATGGATTAGTTTACCTGGTCTCAAGTTGCATTTCCTTAATCATCATCAGGTTGTTTATTCTATTGGAATTCTTGGAGATCATATGTGAAGCTAGATATGCCCACTTTTAACTTAACCAGGTCTTCTGTGGCCAGAATACTTATGGAAATAGATATTACCGAAAGTGATATTACTGAAGTCTGGCTAGGCACAACTCACAAAAAAGTGATATTACTGAAGTCTGGCTAGACACAACTCACAATGGATATTTACAACCAATTGTCATGAAACATAAACCTTTTTATTATACCCACTGTAAGATGTTTGAGCATACACTTGATAAATGTCATAGACTCCATCCAAAATTGAAAGCTAAAGCTCAAGCAATGCTCAATCTGTGGAGGAAGTTCCTAAAATACAAGATTTGGTGTCTGATTTGCCTGTGGATCCCCCCTTTCCAACACTGCAGTTCCTGATGAAGAACACTATACTACAGGTACATATCCAAATGTGCTTATACCACTCACTGTTATTGAAGAAGATCCACTTATATGTCAGGACACACGAGAGTGCTCCCGCTTCCTGGATTTGATAAAAGATCAGATGGTACAATAAGTAGTTGCTTTTGATGTTCAACAACCTACACATGTCCGACACATTTTAGACCAATCCACTGATCTGGTGGGTCAATCTTCGGATGAGGAATGCCAAGTCTATTCCAGGAGAAAGAAGAAGAATGGAGGCCGACTCGAGCTCAGGAATTTATTGGAGGACACATTGGTTACTACTGACAATGACACTCATCTCACCAAATTATTAGCTGGCTCTTTCACAAGAACTGGAGGCAGAGGTAGGGCAAAATTGGGTCCTCTTTAGTTACCTGATACTCCAGATTTTAACACTTTTTTGTTTTTCTTTTCTTTAGGTCTTACGTATTTTTTTGTTTTCTCTTTTTGAAACCATTTGCATTTGGTGGTTATCGTGTGGGCAGAGTGCCATGTTTGGGCCCTCCCGCACAATCTATCTGTATCCTACTTTCTTTTTAATATATTAGCCATTGGACTTTCTCAAATATATATAAATATATTATCACTTCAAAAATTAAGTTGGCGACGTTAGCTTCACTTGACTTCGACGTTCTCTACTCCTTAGCAACTGCTTACGCTAAGTCTCTGAAGGTTGATAGTCATACGCTTATTGTCTCCAGACCCTTTGTGAATTTTGTTTTAGTTGAGAGAGATATCACTCAACCAGCCCCGGATAAGATATGAATTGGAACCACTTACAACGGGTATTGACAAAAGGTTAAAATAGATCCACACCCTCTTTATTGCTCTCATTGCAATATGTTTGGCCACAGCTCTACTATTTACTATTGTTTGCATCCTCATTTAAGGCCACGTATCGCTAAAGATCAGCTACCTATCATCCCCGTTGAGAAGATGTAAGCCGATCCTCTTTTCAACACCGCAGTTCCTGACGAAGAACACCATACTACAACTACAGATCCAATTGTGCTTATACCACCTACTGTTTTTGAAGAAGACTCGCTTACATGCCAAGACACATGAGAGTGTTCCTTTGATCCAATAACAGATCAGCCGATACAACTTGTAGTTGCTTCTACTGTTCAACAACCTGCACATCTCCAACACACTTTAGACCAAGATCAGGTGAGCCAGTCTTCGGATGAGGATGATAGGTCTATTCCAGGAGGAAGAAGAAGAATGGAGGCCGACTCCAGCTTAGGAACATATTGGATGATACATTGGTTACTATTGACAATGACAATCACCTTACCAACTTATTAGCTTGCTCCTTCACTAGAACTAGAGACAGAGACAATACCAAATTAGGTTGCTCTCTAGCCACCTGATATTTTATATTTCAGCACTTTTAGGCTTTTTCTTTAAGTCTCTAATATACTTTTCTGTATTTTCTAGTTTTGGAACCATTTGTGGTTATTGTGTGGGCCCTTCCACACATTCTATCTGTATCTTTCTTTTTTAGTTAATATATTAGCCTTTTTGATATATATATATATATATATATATGGTATACCCGCTTCAAAGGAACATTTTAATATATATATATATATATATATATATATATAACTTTATAAAGTGGGATTTAAGATGAAAGCAATTGGAAAAAAATGCCAAAATATTAAATCAGAATTAGATTAAACAAATGTCAATATTTAATTTTATTCTTTAAAATATTTTACATCAAACAAATACAAAAATTTAATATTTCTATTTCAAATTATTTGGATTACTATGAGTGATAAATTATTAAGTGGGTCGTGATTTTTGTGAAACAATATTTTTCAGCCACTAGATCAAGATTCTTTTATAAAGAAAGAAAATAAAAGAAGATTTAGTTTATGTAAGGTATATATATATATATATATATATATATATCAAAGGTAATGTTTTT